TGGGTGGGGTGTGCTCACTGGGATCAGCCACATCGATCCCGTGGGTGGGGTGTGCTCACTGGGATCGATCCTGTGGGTGGGGTGTGCTCACTGGGATCGATCCCATGGGTGGGGTGTGCTCACTGGGATCAGACGCATCAATCCTGTGGGCAGCATGTGTTCACCAGGGCTGGCTGGTGATCCCACTCGGGGTGATGTGGGCACGTGCTCCAGACAAGCCCCAGCCCATTGGCCCGTGCCGGCAGTGCCGTGCCCACCGTGGCGTGCTGGGGTGCAGGCAGGCATGTCCATGGGTCCTGCTGGGACCACTGTGTGCCTTTGGGGAGCGTGAATATGTGCAGGCCCGTGCCAGATGGGGGGAGGCACCCTCCCTGTGCCACGTCACATCTATGCCGTGCTCTGCACTGAACCGCTGCCACGCTGCCCTTGGTCCCCCCTGGAGCCACAAGCAGGGGCCGAGGTGTCTGCCCCAGAGGGCATGGGGGTGTCAGTCCCACACTGGGAGGGCATTGGGGTGTCTGCCCTATAGGGGATTGGAGTGTCAGCCCCACAGGGGGTTGGGGTGTCTGTCCCATGGGGGACTGGGCAGTCAGTCTCACGAGGGGTTGAGATGCCCATCCCACAGGCCATGGGGGTTCTGCCTGTGCCGGGGTTCCTGCTGGGGACTGTGGGGTATCCCCAGCTCCCAGTGCCCCTGTGCTGGGTGTGGGAGTCTCACCCGCTGCTGGTGCCCCCAGTGTGGGTGTGTGGGGCAGGGGGTGTGAGGCAGCGGTGAAGGCAGCCCCAGGGAGGGGGTGGACCTGCTGTCCTGGGGTTTTGGGGTCCCATGGCCCTGCTGACCCCTGCTGACCTGCTGCTCACAGGCCAATGCTGATCGACATGAGCCGGGTGTATCGTCAGAGCAACCTGGAGAACCTGGACCAGGCCTTCACCGTGGCCGAGCGGGACCTGGGTGTGACGCGGCTGCTGGACCCCGAAGGTACGGGCTGGGGCGAACTGGGAGGGTCCCCCAACGGAGCCCCCGTCCCTCCCTGCCAGGGGTCCCCCCGTCTGACCCCTCCGTCTCTGCAGACGTGGACGTGGCGCAGCCAGACGAGAAGTCCATCATCACTTACGTGTCCTCGCTGTACGATGCCATGCCGCGTGTGCCCGAGGTGCAGGACGGCGTCAAGGCCAACGTGAGTCGGGGAGCCGGGGGGTCACCGCTGCTGCCACCCCCGCGGTGTCACCCCCAGCCCCACACGTGTCCCCGTCCCCAGGAGCTGCAGCTGCGCTGGCAGGAGTACTACGAGGTGGTGACGGGGCTGCTGCAGTGGAGCCGGCAGCACTCGACGCTCTTCGAGGAGCGTCGTCTCCCCGCCAGCTACGAGGAGATCGAGGTGAGGCCACCAGCACAGCATGGGCATGGGGACATGGGCATGGGGACACAGAACAGGGCTGGTGCTGCTGGCACGGCACAGGCACGGGGATGGAGTGGGACAGCGCTGGTGCTTCCAGCGTGGCACAGGCACGGGGACTGGGGACAGATACAGGGGCAGGGATGGTGCTGTCACAGGGTGACTGGCCCTGGGAGCCACCAGTGCCTGGGGCAGTGCGTGGTGGGGTCCCAGCTGGCCCGTGACCCCACTGGGGGTGGTTCGTGTCTGGCTGGCAGCCCCTTTGCTGGCACATGGCCAGCTGTGCTCTGCCGTGGGTCACTGGGAGACCAGTCCACGGCCATGGAGCTGAGCCCCCAGCGGTGCCAGCCCAGGGGTCTGCAGGGTGCAGGGGCTCAGAGCCGTGGCAGAGCCGGTTGCCCTGTCGGGGGGGCCCCCCTGACTCACCCTCCCTGGCTGTGCCGTGAGTCACCGCTGGCAAAGCCCGGCACAGCCACTTCCTTCCCGCCGGCTCTGCACGCATGGAAAATTGGAGGGGGGGTGGATTCCCGAGGAGGGGTCAGCATTGGCAGGGGGTCCCTGCTCAGCTGACCCCTCCGCCTCCGGCAGATCCTCTGGCGCCAGTTCCTCAAGTTCAAGGAGACGGAG